TTTTTTTATTTTTATTTTTATTTTTTATTTTTTATTTTTGTTTTTTTATTTTTGTTTTTTTTGGGATAGAGATAGATATAAGTAGAGATAGATATAGATGATAAGGATAGAGATATAGATGATAGATATAGAGATAGAGATAGATATAGAGATAGAGTTAGAGATAGATTTTGAGATAGAATTTTTTTATTTTTTTTTTATTTTTTTTTTTTATTTTTTTTATTTTTTTATTTTTTTGTTTTTTGTTTTTTTTGGGATAGAGATAGATATAGAGATAGAGATAGATATAAGGATAGATATTGTTATAGATATAGATAGAGATTTAGATATAGATGTAGAGATAGAGATAGATATAGAGTGTATGGATAGAGATAGGTTTTGATTTAGGATAGAGGGAGAGATAGATATAGAGATAGTTATAGATATAGAGATAGATATAGAGATATAGTTAGAGATAGATTTTGAGATGGAGATTTGTTTATTTTTTGTTATTTGTTTTAAAAAGTTTTGTATTTTTTTGTTTTTTTGTTTTTTTTTGGGATAGAGATAGATATAGAGTGGAGTTAGAGATAGAGATATATTTTGAGATAGAGATTTTTTTGATTTTTTTTTTTTTTTTATTTTTTTAAATTTTTTTATTTTTTTTGTTTTTTGTTTTTTTGGGATAGAGAATAGATATAGAGATAATATATAAGATATATATATATATAAGATAGATAGAGATATAGAGATAGATATAGAGATAGATATAGAGATAGAATATAGGGATAGTTATAGATATAGAGATAGATATAGAGATATAGTTAGAGATAGAGATAGATTTTGAGATATGAGATTTTTTTTTAAAAGATTTTTTATTTTTTTATGTTTTTGTTTTTTTGTTTTTTTTGGGGATAGAGATAGATATAGAAGAGTGAGAGGATAGATATAATTTTGAGATAGAGATTTTTTTTATTTTTTTTGTTGTTTATTTTTTTTTTATTTTTAATTTTTTAAAATTTTTTTATATTTTTTGTTTTTTTGGTTTTTTTTGGATAGTAGATAGAGATGGATATAGAGATAATAGATATAATATAAGGATAGATATATATATATGAGATAGATAAGATATAGTAGATAATATTGAAATAGTTAATAGATAGATATATAGATTAAGATATAGATAGATATAGATAGATATATTATATATATAAATAGATAGATATATAAATAGAGTAAGATAGAATAGATGTTATATAGCAAGAAATATCGATATAAAAGAAAAAGAGTAAGATTAAGAGAATATATATATAGATAGATATAGATATATAGATAAGATTGAATATAGCTAATAAAGAGATAGAGAACGATATATAGAATAGTGATAGTAAGAGAAATATATATGGATATATAGATAGATATATATATAAATAGATATATAGATTATATATATAAAGATAAATATAATAGATAGATATATAGAAATATAATTTATTTAGGTAAGATGATATATAGATATATAGATAGTTTAGAGTATAGATGGTTAGATATAGAAATATATAGATATAGAGTTAAAAGATATAGAGATATATAGAGATAGAATATAGAGATATAGATATATTATAATATATGGATAGATATAGAGATATAAAAAAACAAAAAAACAAAAAAAAAACAAAAAACAAAAAAAAACAAAAAACAAAAAAAACCCAAAAAGATCAAAAAAATAAAAAAATAAAAAAAAATTGCACTCGCACTCACACCTTCACTCGCACTCACGCTCCCACTCACCCTCACACTCGCACAGGCACTCGCACTCACACTCACACTCGCACTCGCACTCACACTCGCACTCGAACTCGCACTCGCACAGAAAATCGCTCTCGCAAAAAAACAAAAAAAAAACAAAAAAAAACAAAAAACAAAAGAACAAAAAAAACAAAAAAAATAAAAAATTAAAAAAAATTGCACCCGCACTCACACTCGCACTCACACTCGCACTCGAACTCACACTCACACTCGCACTCTCACTCGCACTGAAACTCCCACTTGCCCTCACACTCGAACTCGCTCTCACACTCACACTCGCATTCACACTCGCACTCGCACTCACACTCGCACTCGCACTCACCCTAAAACTCGCACAGGCACTCGCACTCACACTCGCACTCGCACTCGCACTCGAACTCGCACTCAAAATCGCACTCGCAAAAAAACAAAAAAAAAAACAAAAAAAAACAAAAACAAAAAAAAACAAAAAAAAACAAAAAAAATAAAAAATTAAAAAAATTGCACTCGCACTCACACTCGCACTCGCACTCACACCTGCACTCACACTCACACTCGCACTCACGCTCACACTCACACTCGCACTCACACTCGCACTCACACTCGATCACACGCATTCGCACTCAAAATCAAACTTGCACTCTTGCTCGCAGTCGCACTCACACTTGCACTAACACTCACACAGGCACTCACACTCGCACTCGCACTCGCACTCAAAATCGCACTCGCAAAAAAACAAAAAAAAGAACAAACATAAAAAACAAAAAACAAAAAAAAAACAAAAAAAGAAAAAAAATAAAAAAATAAAAAAAATTGCGCTCGCACTCGCACTCACACTCGCACTCACACTTGCACTAACACTCACACTCGCACTCACACTCGCACACGAACTCGCACTCGCACTCAAAATCGCACTCGCAAAAAAACAAAAAAAACCAAAAAACCCCCAAAAAACAAAAAAACATAAAAAATAAAAAAATAAAAAATTGCAATCGCACTCACACTAGCTTCGAACTCGCACTCACACTCAAAATCGCAATCGCAAAAAAAACAAAAAAAGAATAAACAAAACAAACAAAATAAAAAAAACCCAAAAAACAAAAAAAATAAAAATATAAAAAAATTGCACTCGCAGTCACACACTCGCACTCACACCTGCACTCACACACACACTCGCACTCACGCTCACACTCGCACTCACACTCGCACTCACACTTGCACTAACGCTCACACTCGCACTCACACTCGCACACGAACTCGCACTCGCACTCAAAATCGCAGTCGCAAAAAAAAACCCGCAAAAAACAAAAAAACATAAAAAATAAAAAAATAAAAAAATTGCACTAGCACTCACACTCGCTTCGAACTCGCACTCACACTCAAAATCCCACTCGCAAAAAAAACAAAAAAAAGAATAAACAAAAAAAAACAAAAACCAAAAAACCCCCAAAAAAACAAAAAAAATAAAAAAATTGCACTCGCACTCGCAGTCACACTCGCACTCGCACTCACACCTCCACTCACACACACACTCGCACTCACGCTCACACTCGCACTCGCTCTCGCACTCACACTCGCACTCACACTCGAACTCACGCACTCGCACTCAAACTCAAACTTGCACTCTTGCTCGCACTCGCACTCACACTCGCACTCGCACTCACACTCGCACTAGCATTCATACTCACTCTCGCACTCGCAATCGCACTCAAACTCCCACTTGCCCTCACACTCGAACTCGCACTCACACTCCCACTCGCATTCACACTCGCACTCGCACTCACACTCGCACTCGCACTCACACTCACACACACCCAGGCACTCGCACTCACACTCACACTCGCACTCGCACTCAACTCGCACTCGATCTCGCACTCGCACTCAAATTCGCACTCGCCAAAAAACAAAAAAAAAACAAAAAAAACAAAAAAACAAAAAACAAAAAAAATAAAAAAATAAGAAAATTGCACTCGCACTCACACCTACACTCGCACTCACGCTTGCACTCGCACTCACCCTCACACTCGCACAGGCACTCGCACTCACACTCGCACTCGCACTCACACTCGCACTCGAACTCGCACTCGCACTGGAACTCGCACTCGCACTCAAATTCGGACTCGCAAAAAAACAAAAAAAAAACAAAAAAAAACAAAAAAGACAAAAAAACAAAAAAAAACAAAAAAAAACAAAAAAATAAAAAAATTGCACTCGCACTCACACCTGCACTCGCCCTCGCACTCACGCTCGCACTCGCACTCAACATCCCACTCGCACAGGCACTCACACTCACACTCGCACTCGCATTCACACTCACACCTGCATTCACACACACACTTGCACTCACGCTCACACTCGCACTCACACTCGCACTCGAACTCACACTCGCACTCACACTCGAACTCATGCACTCGCACTCAAACACAGACTTGCACTATTGCTCGCACTCACACTCACACTCGCACTCACACTCACACTCGCATTCACCCTCGCGCTCGCACTCACGCTCGCACTCGCACTCACCCTCACACACACACAGGCACTCGCACTCACACTCACACTCGCACTCGCACTCACACTCGCACTCGATCTCGCAATCGCACTCAAATTCGGACTCGCAAAAAAACAAAAACAACAACAAAAAAAAACAAAAAAAATAAAAAATAAAAAAAATTGCACTCGCACTCACACCTGCACTCGCGCTCTCACTCACGCTCGCAATCGCACTCAACATCCCACTCACACAGGCACTCGCACTCACACTCACACTCGCACTCAAACTCATACTTGCACTCTTGCTCGCACTAACACTCACACTCGCACTCACACTCGCACTCGAACTCGCCCTCGCACTCAAAATCGCACTCGCAAAAAAAAAGAAAAATAAACACAAAAAAACAAAAACCAAAAAAAAACAAAAAATACAAAAAAATAAAAATATAAAAAAATTGCACTCGCACTCACACCTACACTCGCACTCACGCTCGCACACGCA